TGAAAAAGTTTTGGTTCTCTTTTTTTTTAAAAAGACACCAATCTGCATGCAAATACTTAGCTTCTGGTATGTATGAGTATTAGGCATTCCATAAGGATCCAGTCAAAGTGGTTTCTAAAGCGTCAGTCTCCTACTGTGTGGTAATTCCCAGAAGTGATCCATTTGATGTGTGATGATGATAGGCCATTTTAGTGATTTGAATGTCACTCTGCACATATTTGTGCCAAGTAATGTGTGTTTTTGTTCGTCTGCTGTCTTCTTTGTATTCCCCACTGTGTTTTGTATCCTTTTCATTGCTGATGGTGTTCAAGGCAAGATAATAGACCCCTTGCCTGTCTCTCCGTAGTGTAAATATGTATGAATTCTGTAACAGTTAAATCTTCTCATAAAAGCACATACTAGAGCGCATCTTTCTAAAGTATTCCTGGGATTTGCCTGAAGATTCTTCTGCACGAATGCATAACTAAATTTTCTTAACTTAAGACCATTGCATCTATATCTATGGGTCAGTAGCATATTTTCTTGTTTGGGCAGCTTTATAGATGCACCTTGAAACTTCACATCTCAGTAGCAGTCTTCAAACTTTCCCTTTTGGTTGTTTGCGTTTGAGGACGGTGCAGATAATACTGAACATATTCTCGGGAATTCAAAAGGCAAGGACTCAAACCTGTGGCAAATGTTAAACATATGAATTGCTTCTGAAACTGCCTACAATAGCTTTTAATCTGTTTGTGCACTGGAAGCGCTGGTAATTTCTTACTGGTTTATAATGGCAGCAACTGAAAAAAATAGTTAAATGTAGTGATTGTGACTGATAAATTAACAAGCTGGATCCTTTAAAAAAAAAAGCTATTGACAGCTCAAGTCTGACCACTTTACAGTACACTACAATATTTCTACATGATTAGTATTGACAATTCATTCCTTTTCTTGCAGTTCTTTCATTGAAGAAGGAAATGGAATATTAGTGTTTTGATGGTTGTCATTGAAACAGAAGTCTATTATAAAATATTTTGCCCAACTGCTCTAATAATAGGATATACAATCAATTTAGTAATTTAACTTCCATAGTAATGAACCAGAGAGTCTGAGCCTTGTATTTGAAAAATTTGCATCCCTGCTTTGCGCTAGTAGGCTGTTCCCATTACGTGTTTCACCTTGCCTTTTGTTATGCATGTTTCTTAAAAACCTTTCCGTATTGCTTTTCCCTTTACTTTTATTTGTCATTCTATTCAACTTAGCCTCTACAGGGAGTATAGGGAAAAAATCAAACTAGGATTTAGGCTACTGTAGCCCTAATATCCCATTTTGGATCCCTGTATTATTATTCTTATCTTTGATAGTCCTCTTTTTGTCTAAAGAAAAATTCTGGTGGCAGGAGTCGCTTGGTATATGGCATAGCACGCAGCACAGACTTCCATTTGATGACTGGCTCATAGGTGCCACCGTAATAGCTACAAGTGATGATAAAAGAATTGTAGCCATCAGCCATTTACCTGGAAAACAATAACTTTCCCTTAGGCTGTCCCTTACAGAAGAGGACACAAAATATTTCTCACTATAATCAGATAAGTAAAAACTAATGCTGACAGGAAAAAGTAATTCAGAATTGGGGTTCAAGTGAGTTGTGTTTCTGTTAAAGAAATTAAGATGCGTATGCATGATATTTATTCCAGTCTCAGTTTGTACTCAGATACACATTTTAAGGCATTTACTCAAAGTTTACTTATGAAACCATCCTTTCCAATGGAAATAAACTGTACAGGAATGGAAAAAAAAAAGACCAGTCAGGCCTTTGTGGAGTCTTTGTTTCAAGTAGTACAGAGTGTGGAAGATGCTTTTTTAACTTTGAAGATTATTATACTTGACAAGAATCTGTACTGGTTTGTGAGCATGTGCAATTTTAATCTTTACATAAGGTCTAGGAGGGGAAAATGAGCACTTCACTTGTCTGCGCTAATAGGGAAGGCTAAAGCCCCTTTTCCCCTTCTCAGATTCATGCTTCTTAGCTCATTGTTCTTTCTTAATGAAATTAAAGTTGTAAGTAGTGACCTGTGAAAAGGTTTAAGGTTGGAATTTTGATTATTTAATAGGCTTCTGAAACTGGTGGCCCCAGTTCTGGAATTGGCTCTATTCTTGTCATGACAAAACCTGAGATTTGTTGATGACTTCAGATATGCTTTTGTAATACCTTAAGCTTTTTCAGATCTAAGGCAAGGGAATAACTGGAACTTTTTTCCTAGAATAATACTGTTTGAAATTAACTCATGGTCAGTATCATGGTATTTCCAGACACCTCAGCTTGATTTTTAGAAATTGTAAAATGATCTTGATGAATAATGCTGTAGTGTTGAGAAATAGTAAAATATTACTGCCTTCAAGATGGCAGTGGTGCCTCTGGAATACAGATAATAGATGGTAATAAATCCAAGAGACAGATTTTACTACTAAATTTGCAGTTAATATGGACACAGAAATTAGGGTTCATTTTCCAGATCATTTGTTCCCTGAAGCAGCACGGGAACCTGGAGTTATTTTCCTAAATTACTAGCAAGAGACTGAAGCATAAGCATAAAAAGGGACAAGAAAGATGCTGAGTAGTCATGAGAAACAAAGATACTGTCATTTTCATCAAGAATGTCTGCAATAACCTAACTACCTGATTTGCATTACTTTTGTAGCTGTTGCTTTCACTGAATACTTGTTTCCAAACGTATTGTGCAAAGTAGCTTTCAGAATGACAATTCCAATGTAGTTTCTTGGACTGTAGAAGCCAAAACCACTGCAGAGTTCTGAATTTGGAAGAACTTAGCATCTTTTAAAACATGGTACAGTTTAGTATTCTCCATCACATCAAGATCAGAGGATTTGATTTCACTGTTGCTGTAAGCTGATTGAAGACCCTCCTGCTAGGAAGAGGCTTTCTTACTGCCTCACTGCCCCAGGTCTGTCCACTGCCAGCTCCCCCCGATGATGGAACTAGTAATTGGGCATCTGTATGCTGAGGTGGAACAGGGAGTAAATCACTTGTAACCCTGGACACAGCCACTAGTGCTGACCCAAAGCAGGGACTGGGCATATGTGGCTTGGAGATGGTGGCACTGTTCTTTTTGGTGGTAGCATGGTCCTTTGTCCAGCCACAAAGCCATACTCCAAGTGTGCAGTAGTAGAAAAAATTATATGCAGAGTGTGGTGGTGGGGTGTCTTTATTAAAGAAATGAAAGAAATGACGGGGTCTTTCTCCCTTTACACACAGTTCACTTGCAGTCTAGCAAAACTGGCTGGCCTTAAAGGAATTTGAGTTTACTTGACAGCTGGATGAGAAGAACTTTGGCAATACTTTGAAGTTGCAGTGAAAAGCAGCAAGGAAATAACACTTACTCTGTTGCATGTATACACTGCAAGCCTGCTACCTGAAGCAGATGCTTACTTCTGCATTTTTAAACTCATTTTAGCAAAGAGAATCTTCAAAGATTTTCTGAGGTTATTGAAGGTTTCTTTTAGTAAATAGATGTCTGAGGCCAGAGGACAGCTTAATGCATTTATTTGCCTTGGTCCGTTTACTCGTGACTTCTTTACATTCCTGTGTCACTTTGTAGTTATTTAAAGTCTAGTAACATTTTATTGTATTTAATGAGATTTTGCTACCAGAAACCATTTCTTATGAGATTTGCCCAGAGCTTTCCAGAATATGTGTGTGTGTTTAGACGTTTTATTACACTTTGAGACATTTACACTGGCTGTGTATGACTTGGCCATGTCACCTTCAGCTCTCTTTGAAATAAAATGTTTGGCATTTCTTGCCTATTGTGCTGAATTAGGTTAAATAAAGTAGTATCCTTCAAATTGTATACTTTGATCTTCTAGAACAAGGTTTATTCCTTTCCCCTCCTCTCCCAAAGTATGTCTTGAAGTGGATGCATGCTTTGTCAAATACTGCTTTTTAAAATGTTGCTATTTTCTGTTTTTCTCTTGCAACCAACTTTTTTCTTAATGTAGGATCATCTTACTTGTAACCATTGAAGTTTTAGGGTTTTACCATCTATACGTTTCACCTGATCGGTGAATGTAGCCATAATCCTGCTATGCTTACAGTCAGATCTTATTTTCTAAGTCCCTTTTGTGTTTTGGGTGTATATATACGTAGATCATATTTCTTTCTTTGAGTATTGCTCCTCTTTCCTTAAGAGGCTGGTTACTTGCTGGATTTGGCAGGCACGTTTAGAGTGTAGCTACAGAACAGGTTGAGCATTTCATAAAATGCTTAGAAATACTATGTGGCACTTGTAAGCCATGGGCCTGGTATTGGAATAGTTGATTGTCATGAAATGCACAGAAGCTAACATTTGTATGTGTTGTAAATGTCAAACTGGTATAGTGTGAGTTCAAAACTGTATTGGGTGAATTTTGAGTCATTCAACCTTGGAATGAACAACAATATTGTTGGCAAGGTCTGATTTCAGAAAGTATTAGCCTTAAATCAATCAATATAGAGATTTTTATGTAAAAAGATGCAGCCTGTATTCTAGGCAACAATACTTCTTTAACAACAACAAAAAATCTTTAATAGTACATACCAGCCTGCCAGAAAACCACAGAAGTCTCTTCTGTATCTTCATTGTTATGGGAAGTTCATGCAGAGTCTTTTCCAAAGCACCTATCTTCAGTTGGCTCAGTTTGGACATGTAAGAACTGATAGCATAAATAAATAAATTCCAAAATACAACTTAAAAAGGCTATCAATCAAATATACTTGATTACTTTCTGCTGTAATTGCCAAAGATTACACTTGTTTCCCTGCCATATCGCTACTTAAAATGGGTGATCAAAGGTAGCCTGTGAAAGGTGAAGTAAACTGTATGAGGATATATGCAATTTTCTTTCCAAATAATTATTTTAGGATAGTTTCTCTAATTTTGCCCAAGTATTTTTTCAGTGTGTTAATTTATATAAACATGATAGTAAAGCATAACTTAAGTCGATATTTTTTTAATATGCAGGTTTCTACAATCCAAGAACTGGTTACTGGTTATGAAGCCTCTTTGAAAACTTGTGACCTTTTTAGTACATGTGGTAAGTTTCTATGGTCTTATATTAATTACACTGTAATTACTAATACTGTATATGGCAGTTATAAAGAACTGTTGAAGCGCTGATATTTTTTGCAAGAAAATAGTTGTAATACCTTCTAGTAAATGAATGCATTACTGGAAGTATTTGCTGAATTTGCCAAGCTTTGGTTTTTGTTTTTGTTTTTCAAATGCAGTCTTCAGCCTTACTGGTTACTGTGACTTTTTCCATTTTGTTGCAGAAAATGGAGAGAAAGAGCCCCCAACAACACTGCTTTGGGTTCGATATTTCCTGGCACAGCACTTCGACAAACTTGGACAGTGTTCTTTGGCCTTGGATTACATTAATGCTGCAATTGCAAGCACTCCAACATTAATAGAACTATTCTATTTAAAAGCAAAAATTTACAAGGTAAAAAGTGAATTTGGACATACAGAGTATGTAGTTTATAAAAAAAAAAAAACCAAAACAACCCATCAAACTGGTGTGAATGTGTGGATAATATTTCAGTTAGTGGTTACAGGCATTGGTTTTCATGCAGGTTTCTTTTTGGGCACTATTCTCTCAGAAAAAAATTAAAACCCTTTTAGGTTTCGCAGAGCAAGTCACAACTCACAGCAAATTGTCATTCTGAAAAAAATCTGAGGACAGGGGAGAGCAAACAATAATACTGCCTTTTGTTATTTCTGAGGGAGAAATACCAGTAACTACAGACTTCAGGAGTTGGTCAATAGCAAGCTTATACTGAAAGTTAGCTATTTCAATTCTCCCTAACAGCATGTAGGTAACCTGAAGGAAGCTGCCAAGTGGATGGATGAAGCACAGTCTTTGGATACTGCAGACAGATTTATCAATTCTAAATGTGCTAAATACATGCTGCGAGCAAATATGGTGAAGGATGCAGAGGAGATGTGCTCTAAATTCACGAGGGTAAGTATATTGCTTTAATGGAGAGAGGTTTTGTTTGGCAGTTTATTTTTCACTCATGTAGCTTTTTGACCAAAATAAAAAAATTATATTTTATTAGTGTCCATTTTTAAGATAATGCTCTTACACTTAGTGGCAAATAACTATATGGAATCATAGAACACTTTGCATTCGAAGGGACCTTTTTAAAGATCATCTCATCCAACCGCCCTGCCATGGGCAGGGACATCTTTCACTAAATCACGTTGCTCAAGGACCCATCCAACCTGACTTTCAACGCTTTCAATGATAGAGCATCCACAACTTCTCTGGGCAAACTGTGCTAGTGTCTCACCATCCTCACAGGAGAGAATTTCCTTCCTTAAGTCCAATCTAAACCTACCCTCTTTCAATTTAAAACTATTCTGCCTTGTCCTGTCACTACAGGCCTTGTGGTGAAAAGTCTCTCTCCGTCTTTCTTGTAAGCCCCCTTTAAGTACTGGAAGGCTGCAATAAGGTCTCTCCAGAACCTTCTCTTCTCCAGGCTGAACAACCCCAACTCTCTCAGCCTTTCTTAACGGGAGAAGTGTTCCAGCCCTCTGATTTTCGTGGCCCTCCTCTGGACCTGCTCTAACAGGCCCATGTCCCTCTTGTGCTGGGGGCCCCAGAACTGGACACAGTACTCCAGCTGTATAGGCCCAGTAAATACTGGAAAAAAAGGTTGTTCAAAGGTAGTTGTCCAGAGGTATTTTTATTGCCGTACTTCTGAGTAACTCTCTGGAAATGCATCTGATGGATACCTTGTTTGCAAAAACCTGCTGTTTCCCAGTAATAACATCTGAGCTAACCGCACATGAACGTGCGCTATATTCATTATGATGTAACATAATGTAAATTAATTTGGACTTGAACATTTCAATCCTTTAAGGTAATACAACAGACAAAAAAATTTGTTAAAGCAAATCCTATCCTTAAAAGATGGGGTAAGCACTTCAAATTCTATATTCTTGACATTGAACAAAATTTAGATTCATAAAGACCAGATTTCCATTATTTATGTAACTAAATATGAAGACAGCTACTTGGTGGGATTTTGTGGAGCACATAAATGCATTAGGCTCCTTAATTCTTCTTAATTTTAGGTGTGAAAACACTTGAAAGTGAATCCAAGCTTTGTAGATACTTCTAAGAACGATTGAAAATTTTATTACTAAAACTTGTCATGTATGCTTATCGGAAGTGTTAGAGCAAGAAATACAGAACTCTAGTGTAGATACCTGTGCTAAGATAGGATAAATCTGATCCTAAATAATTAAATGTTGTGAGTTGAACTGGGTTTTCTTTCTAGTATAAAGACTGTTCTGAAAATTTAGTGGCTAGCATTTCTGATAGGTGGAACGTGCTTCCAGTTTGTTTATTCTTAATCTAGAACATAGAAACTATAAAGAATAAATTCTAGGGTTTTTTTCTTGTAAAAGTATGAAGTATAAATCTAACTTCGCTTATTTAGATTAACAAGTTCTAAGAAACTTATAATTATTCATACTACATGATAAAGCAGTAAATATATTAGTGGACTTTTAGACTAGTAGATGCCACTTACTGACAGGGGAAAAAAAGCAACAATAATTATTTGCTTGAACTTTAATATTTTTAAAAATAGTGTTGTTTTCTGTCCCTGAATTGTAAAAGTAAGACTGTATACAAGCATGAGTTAATCTTAAAAATCTGTTGAGACACTAATCTTGTTCAGATAGTTTGTTCTTTTTTTTTTTTTTTTTAAATCTATTCCTTGTCACAAGTAGTATTCTCAGTCGCTGGGTGGTTATATCCATTTTCTGTTGTATTCCAAGTAGTTGAAGGATTGATTGTTTTCATACTAATGGCCTGAAACTAGCCATAGTTGAAAGAAGCGGCTGGTAAATTATAAAAGCAAAAAGTGATAATGACACGTGTTTCAGGAAGGAACTTCTGCTATGGAAAACCTAAACGAGATGCAGTGTATGTGGTTCCAGACCGAATGTGCCGCAGCTTATCAAAGGCTAGGGAAGTATGGTGATGCCTTGAAAAAATGCCACGAAGTAGAAAGGGTAAGTAGGTGCAAACACCATCAATTTATTTCCCAATATTTCTCACACAAGTGTTTCTAGTACAATGATTTTTAAAAACAGGTTAGTACTCAATGATTTATTGTAATAAATGTCATCCCTAGTTATGTGAAAACCACTTATTTGAAGTGAAAAAGATTGAATATAAAATACCACATCTCCTAACTATAGAACTATTTGTACATTTATGCTGTGTTTTGCCAATTGTTTTGTTTAATCGGGAACAGTCACATTTCAGTTGGCTTTTAAAGAGTGCCTAAGTCTTCGAACAATCACATTATAGTTTTTAGCAAAATGAGATTTTTCTGGTTGGGTTTCTTCCCTACTGACAGGTTGTCTTGGACAGTATTATAAGGATATTTCTATGCCTGTTAAATGCTACAACTGATATTATTTACAGGCAATTTTATTCACCTCCATCTAATTAAAAAAATAGACTAAGCAAGGGAAGTGCACAAGAGTTGTGTGTATGTTCTTTTTGTTTTTTCTTGAAGCATTTTTTTGAGATAACGGATGATCAATTTGACTTCCACACATACTGCATGAGAAAGATGACTCTTCGTGCCTATGTAGACCTTTTGAGATTAGAAGACGTGCTCAGGAAACATGCCTTCTACTTCGAGGCTGCTCGATCAGCAATTGAAATCTACTTGAAGCTCCATGATAATCCTCTTACCAATGAAAGCAAAGAACAAGAAGTGAATTCAGGTATCTAGACCATAGTGGAAGCTCATATGTGTATGACACAGTAAAAGCTTATTAAGCTAAGTAACGTATCTGCTATAGAATAAATGAGTTGTAACTTACACAAGTCTTTCCTGTTTTCTGTCACAATTTGATAACTGAAAAGAGATCATAGATAGCATGCTACAGCTTTCTTCCTCTCTGTTCTCCTCTTATCATATTGTAAAACTAGTACATGAATGAACCTAGCTATAGTTGGAGTACTTGGGGAGGAGTGGCGTTTCAGAATATTAAGAGGAAAAATAAAATTCAGTTTAGCCATTTATCCATTTAAACAAAAGATAAATGTCTTTAACAGATGAGTTATGAGACAATGGATAGATTTTGTGGGAAACCAGTCTGAATTGTAAGAATTTCAATTTTGATCTAGTGTATTTAATTTATTACATAGTAATACTAGTTAACGCTGTATTACATTTTATCATTTTTCACATAACTTCAGGACCAAAGAATACATGGATAAGTGTGTATTAGCAGAATTAATACATTTAGGAAACTATTTAAAGCTAGTGTTAAATGGAAAGTAGACTTTCCTAGGAAACCAGTGGGGTGTGGTTTGGAAATCTGAGGATGCAATGACAAATGAGTTACGAGGTTTTTCCCTTTAAGATAAATAGTTGCTTCTTTTGTAGAACTGCAGCTACTGTCAGCACTGCAGTGGCTGTTGACTAAACGGGTGAAATGAATGCATAGCTCTTTGCAAAGGGAAGAATATTTGACATGGGGCGGGGAGTTAAAATAAACCAAAAATGCCACTTAATATTGCCAGTACAATCTTACCTTTCATTCAGAGCTGAATAGCAAGTTTTTCCATGTCTGCCTATGTATAATGAAGTACCTATAAAAAGAGGCACACTTCACAGCACGGTTGAGCTTGCATCTTTTTTTCTCTCCAATTTTAATTTGTTTCTGTATATAATGCAACATTCGTGTGTGACAGAGGATCTTGATAGCGGTATGTCATAAAACTAAGGTGGGGAAGAGTCTAAGAAGTCATGTTAGTTCATTTGGCTGCTGTGCATTGGGATTCAGTAGGCTCGTCTGCAGGGGAAGACAGCACTGTATGAATGGGGTAACAGGAACGCTTGCTTCTCCTTGCTTCCTTATCTCAGAACGGTGCCTCACCCCAGTGGAGAGGTTATGGTACCATAGCTACAAAAAAGATGTGTTAGTCCCTCAGTAGCCTATTCTTCTGTTCCTTGCCATGTTATTGGCTCAAATCCTGTTCTCAGTTGAAACACTACAGTAAACAGAGTGGAAACCACAGTATTATTCTGGCTAAACTGGTCAGGTCAGTGGGACAGCAGGGAAGGAAAAAAAGAAGGGTGAATGGGGAGGCTGAAGGCTCCTCACTTCTATGTGAACCTGTAGGAAACCATGTTTTGTGTGTTCTGCTTTTCATGCAACTGTTAAACCTTCGTGGTTTATCTAAATGCTAGTCCAGTCTAAAAATCTGAACACAGCAAGCAGCCTGAAGATTCATATAATGGTCCTGCTAATACATACCAGAATATTTTACCTCTCCTCACCCCAAACAATATCAGTTTTTGATTGCAAAACTTGCTTGCCATTGCATTTGCAGAAAATCAGTGCAATTATCATGGCTGCATATTGTTCAGAAACTTTAATGAGAGATAACAAGCTTGTTTTAAGATGGAGTGTAAATCTGCCTAGATGTTTCTAATTAGCATTAGAAGGAAGCTGAGCTACAGTCAATATGGGAGCTTAGTATAACCCTTGAAAACTATTGCCCGTTTTCTAAGGTAAAATCTGTCACAGATGCAACAACTCTAGTAGTTAACCTTTCAAAATAGTTGAGGTTTCTATAACTATGTAAGAGAAAATATGCAAGATCAAGTGTTGTGTTATGCTGTAAATAGTAATTCAGTAGTAATGTTGAACAATATAGTGATGAAAGTCTGACAAGTGCTGATATTTATGGAAATTGCTGTAAAAGTATGCCATTTTGATATAGGGGAGGAGCATAGTGGCATTTCTAAGTGCTGTTGGAGAGAAACAAGACTTTTTAATTAAATACTCTGTTAATATAAGTTATCTGTTTGTTACCTTAATCTGTAGAAAATCTCTCAGCCAAAGAGTTGAAGAAAATGCTTAGCAAGCAAAGAAGAGCACAGAAGAAAGCAAAACTTGAAGAAGAAAGAAAACATGCAGAAAGAGAGAGACAACAAAAGAATCAAAAGAAAAAGCGAGATGAAGAAGAGGAGGAAACTAGTGGACCCAGGGAAGAGCTAGTTCCTGAAAAACTGGAAAGGGTTAGCATGGTCTTTCATGTTAAATTAATATGATGGTCATAAAAAGCCTATAATATAGAATTACTATCAGGTTCTCCTAAAAGAATCCAGGGGGGTTTTATAAAATCATTTTTGCATACAAAGATACCTCTTTTAGTCTATGTCTGTTTACACTAAAGAAAAGTAATATTTTTCTTCTAATAAATCAAAGTTCTATATTAATAATATTGGTACTTTCTTTAAATTTTGTTTTTTTCAAACAGTAGGCCATCCTTCACTAAAATAGATACTGAACAAAAAAGATGGTTCTTGCCTGAAGAACTCTGGTTTTCATATAGTGAATAGAGAAAAACTAACAGAAATGTGACTGCAGTTCACAAAATGTGAAGACCTGAGCCAGTATTTCTCTAAGCCCAAAGAACTATCTCCTTTATCACAGTAACTTCAGAAGTTTAAGCTTGTTGTCTAAGGTAGTCATATTTAATTGTTCCCTAAATGCTAAATTACAACACAAAGTACATTATGTAAGCAGTGCCAGAATTACCAATGATGTTGTCTTTGTCAACATGAGATCATGAGTAGACACTTTTGAATCTTGCTGTTCAAATAAAAATGTTGTGGTTCAGTTTAATTCAGAAAGCTATCTACAGTTTACCTTTGGCCTCTTATTTAAATGCTCTGAATAACAGAAACTATCCTTGGTGTTTTTTATTTGATGTTTATTTTAAGATTTAAATTTCACTGTGGTTTTTATTAAAACAGGTAGAAAATCCATTAGAAGAAGCCATTAAGTTCCTTATACCACTTAAGAATCTTATTGGAGATAACATAGAAACACATTTATTAGCATTTGAAATATACTTTAGAAAAGGTAAAGTACTGCGTAATTTTATTTTTGCTCTACAAAATTTTAACCCTTTGCTGCAGCCTATGTTATCTGAGTGTAGCCTAAAATGGTCTGGAATAGATATTTACTTAACTGAAGCTGGGGTTTGCATCATAGCCAGTAATAATAGGGGAAATAGGGGGTTTTTTGTTTGTTTTAAGGGTGGCTAAACAAAAATGCTAAGAGCAAAGTAAGTTGTAGTATATACTAATAAATGCTGTAGAAAGATACTTGCAGTGTGATCTTTAATTATCGGGGGAAAACAAAGGCAAACAGATAGTAACACCATCTGTGCAGTGTTGCCAGAGTTTGAGCAGCAGGCATTTCTATTAAGCAATTTAGATGGGAAAAATAACTCTCCTTTCTAATTCTGCCTAGGCACTGATGTTTCTAATGTTTGTACTAAAGTTTCTCTTTATATCAACTACTGTTTTCTTCAGTAAAAGTTCTGTATTCTTAATCTTGGTATGTTTTTGCTTTTTTTCCTTCCCACAGGAAAGTTTCTGTTAATGTTGCAGTCTGTCAAAAGAGCTTTTGCTATCAACAGTAATAACCCATGGCTACATGAGTGCTTGATTAGATTCTCTAAAGCTGGTATGTGTGTGGGAAGTACGTATGTATGTATAAAGATACAGGAAGTTATATTGTACAAGGACATAACTACGTATTTTTGTAATGTATGAATACTCTCGAAACTGCAACTGATACGAAGAAAAATAAAACTAAATGGTTTGTTTTCCATGGTGGTACCCAAGAAAACACAGGTTGTGCTATGCGGGGTACTGTGTATGTATTATATTGTACTCCTTCCTCCGTTAATCTGCCATGTGGACCCAAGAACTCATTTTGGCTAGATTTCACAGAGGAGTAGGTGTTTCAAAGATCCTTGAAGTTCTTAAGTTTTAAGACAATAAGTGGCAGATATGGGAGAGAGATTCTGACTGAATCAAAGTATGCATTGTGAACTTGCAGCAGAAAGTTGACAGGACAAAGCGCCCTTTATGAATGTTTCGTCTATAAATGCATTGGGAATGCTTGTATTGACCTGTTTTGAACTGAAATGTGTGATTCTTTCTGTGCTCAAATTTTAAAAATGGGAATTTTAGCAGCGATGTTTATGGTTTCACAGTTTTCTACAGTTGTTGAAATGGCTTTTTTTGCTTTTCTCCCTCTTACCTTCCCCCTTCTAGTATCTGACCATAGTAACCTCCCAGAAATTGTGAGCAAGGTCCTAACTCAAGAAATGCAGAAAATCTTTGTTAATAAAAACTTGGAAAGTTTTAATGAAGAATTTCTCAAACACAATGCTACCTCCATTCAGCACCAACTGTCAGGTTTGTTTAACTTCTAAATGCTCTTGAAAAGGAGATGATTTAAGTGATTTAAATCCAGAATCTTTATCTGCAGTCCATAATTGATACATAAATTCCAATGAGCCAGAAATTCACATGTTTACAGTGGTTTTTTTTCTGCCTGCTTTTACCATGTTAAAAAAAACTCATTCCTTTTTTTATTAGATGCATAAGGAGCCTGCTTCTTTCCTCCAAAAAGTGCGATCAAACCACAACAGCTATTCAAGTGTGGAAGCACTGTCATCCCTCCTGTTGCAGCTTCTAGTTCTGAAATGACTAGAAAATATAAAACAAAAAATCCTATATATTAGAAGCAGTGCTTTTTCCTGTTTTCTTATTAGCTGGAATGTCTCTGTTCCTACTCATAGCTTTGTCATGTAGCAACAGCATGAATAAAAATATCATGACAAACTTGTTATGCTACTTTTGCTTTTCTGCTTCATGGTCAACAATGAAAATGTGTCAGGCACTTGAAGTACTTAGTACTAATCTCACCTAGTCTGTAAAAGCTACCCAGGGTCTGTCCAGAATCACTGGAGAAAGTTAGTTTCAGAGGATTGTTCATCTCTCTTAAAGGAAGGTTAGGTAATTTACCCCAAACTTAGAGGCCATTAAAAGATACCTACTTCAGGACAGCATCTTGAGAGAAATATTTGCATCCCTTCCCTGTGAGCAGGCTCAAGATTTGGGAAGTCAAGTACAGGTATCTCAGCAGGCAGTTGCTCCTAATTCTTACAGATGTGTTCTTCCACTCTTGTCGTTGTTGGGCATCTAACTGGATGTTTTCCAGGTTCTACTTTCTGGTCCTCCATTGTTATGGAAAACAGTACAGTCCCTTTGTCATAGAAATTGGACAGGCTAAGACTGTCATACTTCTGAGTTCGGCTTCACACTGTCCTACATCTTTAGTGCCTTTGAGAAGAACCCAAGCTAGATCATTGACAGTGGTGGCATCCATGTTAGAGAGATGTCAGGGACCCCTTTGAAGAAAGTGGGTCTGTTCACGTTCAGCGGAGGTGAGGGGCTTAATGTGTAAAGGCTCCTTAGGGTCCATTGGTCACTGTGATCCAACAGCGTATCAATTTACAGGCAGTAGGAACAAACGTGGGATTAGGATTTTTGAAGTGAAATCAGGAGTGAACTAACCATAGACATGTCCTTGGTAGCTTTAGGTCTTCACCTACGTGTCAGTCTTCTGTTTATGCTGAAACAGGTTTGAAGTGATTGTCTTATCTACTGTAAAATTTATAACTTCTTAAACTGTCATCTTGAATTCAAGTTTGAAAATGTAAAGGTCTGAAAGACCTAAACCTTAAGTCTGACAGTACAAATGAGTGTTTTCTTAGCTTAAAATGATTACTAATAAAAAAATTATAAGCAGAATCTTAATCCCTTTTCAATTTTCCTACTGTATCCTCCCTGACTTTAAACAAATGTAACTAGGTTAATAAGTTTAGTAAGTTTTTTGACAATGATTACTCAAACCCAAATATATTCAGTCTAGCAATTTATTTTGTGAAACCTTCTGGATACAAAAAGCAGTAAGAACTAGGAAACTTTCTTTAATTAGGAAAACAAATTTAATAATTGGGGAAATTAGTTGAGCAAGAGGAGACAATACACTCAATGTGGTTTTTCAGCTTTTTCAGTAAAATGATTTCTGAAGCTTTTTGTTCTTTGTAGTAGATTATATAGCGAGGTGTGTCTGGACTTTGTATTTGGGAAAAGGAAAGTATATGAAATGCCTACATGTTCATTAAGATAAGATTTTAACTTAAGGCAGCTATGATATGAGGAGCAACACAGTATTTTGCAGAGATGCTCAGACCAGTTTTGATAAACCGTGGTCCAAGAAGCTGCATGTAGTTACATTAATGCTATGTCTTACTTCTCACAAATGGTAGTCTAGTCCAGGCAAAGCACCAAACTTGCATTAAACTTCACTTGTACCTATACTGTTTCACTCAGCTCCAGATTTGTAGCCCAGCTTGGCCTTAACTTTCTGCCATATGGACGTATACTGGTCTGAATTTCTTCTGGATGGTGTTCCACAACTATTTAGTAGCTGCATTGTTCACTTATTTCCACTACTTTTCAAAATAATTCAGAGTATCTAAGAAAATGTCTTTTAATCATTGTAGGATGGATTTCATTTAGCCTGCTGATTTGAAGAGCTTAGTCATCAATGTACTCTCTACATGTATTTCTTGACTGACAGGTCTTCAGTAAGTGAGGCATTTCACTTTTGCAGAAGCAGATCTCCTGTGTTACTCAATCCTTATGCTTCTAATAAATTTCAAAATAGCTTTAGTTTCCTTAGTTTTAAGTTATAAATAAAGGAGGGAAACATGGTTTATTAAAACTTGTAAGAAGTCCTAATTCACATTGATTAATAAGTTTTCGGATTCTGTGTATCTGTATATGCGGAGTTGCATTTAGGAGCGCTATAATCTAAATGTTGTCTTCTTTCTTGTGATAAGGTGCAAAGATGATGTATTTCCTGGACAAATCAAGACAAGAAAAAGCAATTGCTGTTGCTACTAGATTGGATAAAAACATGAGAGACAAAAATGTGAAGGTAAAAGATACAGTCTCTAAAGCCAAAAAATGTGTGAGATCTTAAATAATGTATACTTAACTGCAGGATAATGTACATGCTTCATAGATCATGATAAATAGAAACTGTAAAATATCTGAATACCAACAGAGAATGTGTGTTTGCTCAGGTTAGTGTTGTTTAACCGTACATCTCTTTAGTAATAAAACAATTGTGAATTACACCTATTAACTGTTACTTTTGTTTCTTTAGACATTAACAAAGGTTTTTGAGGCACTGCTTGATGGCAGTTTTGGAAGCTGCCACACTCAATGTGAAGAATATCAAGCAGCATGTCATAAACTGTTTCCTTTTACGTCTGCCTTTATGCCTGCCACAAACGAGGACGATAGCAGCATTGCATCTGTGAATCATACAGCCATTAACCATGATTTGCTGTCTAATGAAATCTGAAGTAGCGTGTGCAAGCCCGTGTGTGTGTGTGTATACCTACATGCGCACATGTATAAAAAACTCTGACTCTCGTTACATACTGGCTGGATACAGATCAGGGTTACTTTTCCAGGTTGTATTTTAATATCTTTAACAGGTATAAAACAAAATATTTGGATAGTTAAATGAAATGGAGTATGCTATTAGTTATTTTTTTCTCCCAACAAAAACTGCCAATATTTATGTAAACATTATCCTTAATCAGCATTTTTCATGTTTATACTTGTACAGTTTTAAGTCTTTTAATAATCCATCAGCCCTCCCTCACAAAAAATATGGATGTTAAAGACCTGCTTTCACGTAAGTGTCGTTACATATACAGATAAATGTGATCATATCTTGTTAATAAATTACCATTTGAGCGTTTTTAGCAGATTAAGACTGAAGTGCTGCTTGAATTGCCCTCTTCGTCTTTTACTGTCCTTTAGGGGTTTTTCTGGGTTTGTTTGGGGTTTTCTTGGTTGTTTTTTGGTTTTTTGTTTTTTTTTTTTTTTAATTCTATTTTGATCTTTGGTCAGTTTGGTTTCTTTTGAAGCACAGTGACAATGAAAGCATTGGGTGTTTGCATGTTTTTGTCAGGTGTGTGTCTTATATGGAACCAGTGTTGATGGATATGAAGATTAGGTTTGTGTTTAAAAAAAACAAAACAAAAAAACACTAAGGCTTTTTGAAAACTATTCTATCTACCTTGTGTTCCATAGCTATTGTTTCCTTAAGTTTATGGTCAGTTTAACATTTTCAAGTTTGAGTATCCTGAAGCAATTCCCTGTGAAAACAATGAATTTGATACTGTTGTTTGTCCTTCGTTCCATCTTCCCCTTCCTCCTCTTCCTTCTGGTTTCTCCCCATCTGTTCACCTATTGACACTTAAGTTGAAAAAGCTGCTCCAATTTTGGGCAAATGCAGAAGGTACAGTAATGGGGAATACAGTCCTTCTCTACATCATAAAAATTCACTGGTAAGTTTACTGTATTACCTCCATTAAAAGTCTTAGTTGTCCACTTATGGTCAATACTCCAGTACTTCTCATGCCTAAATACTATTGCTTTAGGTGCTGCAAAGCAAATAGTACGTGAGGAGTATGTTTTACATTTAAAAACTATTTAAGGGAGCACAAAGAGGCTGACTACAAATCATAATGAACCTTTTTCTTACTTTGTATTCTGGTGCATTAACTGTTAAATATACAACACATGAAAATGGAAGTCTGAATCTAATATACTTATTTAAAGCATACTATTGCTGGACAAAATGGCTAGATATGACAGCTTTACATTCTATAAGAACTGCTATCAAAACATAACTATACTGTGGCTTGTACAGAAAATCCATTTTCTGGAAACTGTAATGGAATCATTCAATCTTGGTTTGTTTTTATTTCACTGCAATGTAAATAATTTCAGTAATATTAACTAGCCCCTCAAAGGCAAATATAAGTTCATGAAGAGGGGATTTTATTAAGACAAATAAACTGTTCTAATTAAAATTCTCCTTTGTGTGTCATCTGTTTAGATTCAAAATTGTTGAATGGAAAACTCACTGTAAAATATTGCCAACATATGTTATGCTGTAATAAATTATTTTGTACACACTTGCCTTTGGTGGAATTTTTGTGTATTTATGGACATCAAACGTCAACCCATCACATGCATTATTTTTTCTTGTTCAGCTGCAACATTCACTGGTTTAACATGAACTCTGTAAGTAGTTAAGGGGAAAAAAATCGCTATTTAGCACATTGAGATATGTGTATCTCTATACATAGCAACATACTACCCTGAGAAATACGGAAAGATGTTTTTGTCTTGGGTATTCACCATGTGCCATTTGCTGTGGAACAATTTGCTCAAAGATGTCTCACACAGGGAGATGTAGCTGGCCATAACGGGATTGGTTTGGCCCAGCAGTACCCTGGAAGCACTTTATCAGCCCACATAAGGTGAAGACATGAAGGGGTACAGTGGTCTTCTGTCTCTTGTAGTGATGATGCATTGCTAGAGATTTAATTCAGGCCTTCAAAAGGAGGCTGTGGCATGACAGATAAGACTGCTAATCCAGTCCTCTGGTATCTGTTTAGCTTGACACTTTAAATTAGACTTGAGCAAAAAATACCTTGGGTATCTTTTCAGCAGTTTATTCCTTGAGAAAATAGATGAATAGGTTTGATTTCTAGACTAAGAATTGTAGGAACTCTTTTGAGAATTCTGAAAATACAAAAATTGGATCTTCTGTCACCCAGCGTGTGGTGTGGTTTGGTTTTCTCGTAGAACTGCTGGAGGCATAAACTGCTGAGTTTTCTTCAGGGCTGTCATTGCAGGTTTGAACTGCTTGGGATAATGGATGTGTGGCAATCCTGTGGACCATTGCAGAGAGTGAGTAGGGTGGTACAACAAAAATAATGGAGAAGAACAGATGTCAGAGAAAGGTGGTGGGTTTGGTGGGTTTTTTTTTTTTGTTCTTTTTAAACTATTCTGAAAAGATTTGATGTCTTTTCAGTAACTTGAATTAGAAAAGGCATCAAACTTAACAGGCCTGTTAAGTTGTCCCAGAGGAAATGTGCTATCATACATAATTGCTAACAGTGCTTACATGTCACAGAATCAGTGCTTCACATTTCAGTGTTTAAAATATCAGCTACCCTAGCTCTACTCTGTCTTTCGTACTTTTTCATTGTTTTCTCTATCACTTTCTTGCTTTTTTTTTCCCCCCTCTGTGCAATTTGACCTGATTTGTCATCTCAAAAATAATTTAATCCACTTTACAGTCATTCTTGTTCCACTCTCCCATCCCTAAACTTCTTTCCTCCTCTAGCAAACGTGACATCCCAGGAGGCAGCTTCTCTTTTCTTATCAGTCTGTTGGCATCAAAATAACTGGCTGCATCAGGAATTTGTGGACAATCCAGATTGAGTTCGCTTGGGGGGGTGACTCTGAAGTTGAAAAGCCTCAGATCTCCTTTGCTCCAGTACAGTCACACCCTAGACCTGATCTTTTTGGCTCTCAAATCTGAGACGGGCTGTTTTCTCTCAAATGAGGTTAGCCGAGAGAACACACAATGGCTGAGACTAGGGTAGTTCCTGTTTTCAGCACCATCTATGACCCACAGGGAGGTGGAAGGAGTGACTGACTTACGCTACGCATCCCCTTTCTTCTCTCACTGGCCTGGCCGCAATTAATGCATAAAGAGCAAGGCAGCAATTTCATCAGGCCCTAAGGTAAGCTGCTTTAAGATGCTTCTGTGGCCACCCGCAAGCAGACCTGTGTCAGTGGAGCTATTGATACAGAGCATATTTCAGCTGGAGGCAGTCCTTGTGGGAAGGACTGGTCAAGTTTTGTTTGATGGTAGCAGTGGTTCTGCTGAGGAAAAGTCACTGGTGTAGACAGGGAGTGAAGCCCTGATCATCTACAGCTAGAGCTACAGCTACATCTCAAACTCATTCCTCATTCGGACCTCAGAAGTCTAGAATTGCTAAAGACCAAAACAAATTCCAGGTCTTATAATGTGCTTGAGTATTTTTACCCTGGTTTTTTTTTTTTTGTGGTGGTGGTGTTTTGTTTTTAACAAAAAGAAGCCTTTGACTAATCAAGGAAATTGTACTGTTTTCCTCTGGCAGGTTGACGAGAAACCTTTTTTACCAATGTATCACTATGCTTTTTTTTTTATCAGTTGTTTTTATCAATACCGTATTCAAATGCTTCGCAATCTCGCGATGCGTTCTCACAACCCTTGTTTAATCTTCGTTGTAGATGGGCATGGCGCGACGCGTGCCCTAACCTGCAGCTACCTTAAGGTGGCATTTGCTGTCCAGGCAGAAGGAAAACACGCAAATGCAGCGAGAGCCTAGCGAAAGGCTGCCCGCAGAAGGCAGGGCCTCGCTTACCTGTCAGTATTGCCGTGCGCCTGAACTTGGGTGAGGTGCGCTTGCTGCCATCGGCAACAGATGTTCTGCAGCTATGTGCTCGGGTAGCACCTATATGATTACATTAAGTATTTTGCTATGGTGTGTGTATATATATAGGTTGGTTAGGCTTAATTTGCTCATTACCAGTCTTAGCAAAATCTCCAAAATGCCTTACATAGTCTGGATGTGAAACTATTGATGCATCAATTTTGATTGCTCTAAATTATAGTAAAAGTTTACTTACCTGTCCCTGTCTCTTTTTTTTTTTTTTTTTTTTGTGGATCTTTGAAGACTTTTTGAGCTGTTTTGTTGTGAGTTTCTTTTATAAATCCCTATTACTTACCCCTGCACAGACCAAATAATTGTGTGAACAACATAAATGTGATGAGAACTCACTGACCCGGCATCCAGTCTCGCGTAGGGCCCTGCCGTCCCACCCCCGTCTCGCATGAGTACCCCCTCTCCTTCTCTCGCTCCCTCACGCAGGCAGGCAGAGAGGCGTACCCCGAGGCTGACAAACGTCTCATCAGAGGGAATAAGCCTCTTCCAAAGGACCAGGCCTTAATGGGAGAAAATCCCGTACCTGATACTCGTATGGGTAACAAAAGTTTAGTCCAGAATTAGCAGTTAGGGTGGAAGGGGCAGTTTCTCACCTCTGTTCAGCTCTAACATCTCCAGGCTTCCCAAATAACGAATCCCTCAGCTAGGAAGAGGTCAAGCTTTAAGTGTGACACAAAAGATTCAAGCATAATGATGTTTTCATAGGTGAATGCACTTGCCACTTACTGTTTCAACAGCATCGCTGTATGTACTTTTGGCATTTGTTTTTTCACGGCTGAAACCGGGCGTTAATGAAAAGCGGTCAGTTCATGGATTTTTCCACCAGAGGGAAGCCTTGCATCCCGAATATTTTCATAGCAAAGGAAGGCTGCCGTCTCATTTATTTTCAGGTGTTTTCTGGGTGCCTATCTTCTTTTTTCTTTCAGGCAGTGGAGAGAGGTCGTCAGTGTTTTGTATGCGCTTAAATGGCTGAGTGAGACGCGTATTCATATAACCCAGCTCTCCGTAGGCATCGGTTTGGGGATCTGAAGTCGAGAGCGTAGTTGCTTGGGCTTATTTCATACCAGCTGAGAAGAGAGACACAGGGAGAGGCTATCTGAGCCCGCGGATGGTCGGAAGCACCTTTTGGGAGATCCTGTGTCGTATGCAGAAAGCGTCGGTCAACTCGGCTCCTGCCTTACTCTCCTCCTCTCCTTCCGAAGAGGAGCTGTAGGCCGCCTCTGCTGCCTGCAGGCTGAGGCAGAACGTATTGGCCTTGAAGATTAGCCTTCGCTCCAGTTCATTTATCATGGACTAAATACACTGTTCACCACGCAGGCTTTGCTGCTTAAACGTATTTCAAGTCTAGACAAAGTATTTGAGAATGTGCTGTTAACGCTTAAGAGGAGGTTTGGGGTTTTGAGAGGTTCCTAGAGGT